ATGATCCTAATCTGCCCTTCCCCATGTTCAATAATAATGCAGAAAAGGACAGTGATGACCCTCCTTCCGTTCCACTAGGATCCCTGGTGCACATTAAACACCAGCTACTAAAAGTTGGACATTTTTAGAGCGGCAGGCTCGTAGAACTCGCATCCAAGAGTTTGAAAAGAGCTGGCCAAGGAGCTGGCCGGACCAGTAATGTTGGTTTTCATTACGGGTGGGGCACAGGGGAAGCTCCAGCAGGCTGGAAGAAAGAGAATGCGGGACATTGAGCCCGGGGAAGGTAATAGAACAGCCACTACAGGACTCGATTAAGAAAGACGGCAATATAATTAACACCACGCACCCGGGCTTAGAAAAAGTAGATCCTGTCAAATTAACTTAATTTCTTTTAATGAGCTTCCCAAGTTTGGTCGCTAAAGGGACTAGTGTAGATGTCACCGATGTTGACCGCCGGAAGGTGTTGGCCTTGGTTCCGCCTGACCCCTGTGGTAAAAAGTCAATGTATGATGAACATGGCCCCCGGCGCGGGAAATAACGCAGAGGATGGGTCGCTGCTACCGACCGAGCTGCAGCGTTTGGGAAACAGTGTGTGTTTGAACACGGCTCAGTGGGAACAAACCGCCGGCCGTGCTTACCTGCTGGGGGGGACTGGGAAGCAGTGACTCTGGAAAAGACTTGGGGATTGCGGCGGAGAATCAGCTGAACACGAGCTGCCAGTGCGACCTGCGGCCAAAAGAGCTAATGCCCCCTGGGGTGGCGAGATGGGAGACTCGAGTAGGTGGAGAGGTGGTTTTAGCTCTGGATTCGGCCTTGGTGCGACCGCTGCGGCGATCCTGCAGCCACAACTCTAGAAGGACGTTGATCAGTCGGGAGGCGTCGGAGAAGTGCCATGAGAATGATTCAAGGATTAGAAAACCTGCCTTGGCGGGAGAGACGCCCGGCGCTCCAGCTATTGAGCTGAACACAGAGCAGGTGAAGCGGTGACTTGAGCCCAGAACAAATAGTGAACGAACGGGATCTTCCAAATTCAGCCTGGACGGAAGGTGTCTTTGCTGAGTTCTTCAACTCGGGGCCTTGGCAAAGCATTCAGTTCCCCCGGGGTTGAGCCCCATGGCTTAGAGGCTGAACTGTTGGCTGGGGGAGACTGAGGTGCCCCCTAGTGCGACGGGCCCAGACGAGCCATGCCCTGTGCTGCAGGGGGAGGTGAAAAATCATAGAATCATAGAATATCAGGGTTGGGAGGGACCTCAGGAGGTATCTAGTCCAACTCCCTGCTCAAAGCAGGACCAATTCCCAACTAAATCATCCCAGCCAGGGCTTTGTCAAGCCGGGCCTTAAAAACCTCCAAAGAAGGAGACTCCACCACCTCCCTAGGTAACGCATTCCAGTGCTTCACCACCCTCCTAGTGAAAAAGTTTTTCCTAATATCCAACCTAGTCCTCCCCCACTGCAACTTGAGACCATTGCTCCTTGTTCTGTCATCTGCCACCACTGAGAACAGCCGAGCTCCATCCTCTTTGGAACCCCCCCTCAGGTAGTTGAAAGCAGCTATCAAATCCCCCCTCACTCCTCTCTTCTGGAGACTAAACAATCCCAGTTCCCTCAGCCTCTCCTCGTAAGTCATGTGCTCCAGACCCCTAATCATTTTTGTTGCCCTCTGCTGGACTCTTTCCAATATTTCCACATCCTTCTTGTAGTGTGGGGCCCAAAACTGGGCACAGTACTCCAGATGAGGCCTCACCAACGTTGAATAAAGGGGAACGATCATGTTCCTCAATCTGCTGGCAATGCCCCTACTTATACAGCCCAAAATGCCGTTAGCCTTCTTGGCAACAAGAGCACACTGTTGACTCATATCCAGCTTCTCGTCCACTGTGACCCCTAGGTCTTTTTCTGCAGAACTGCTACCTAGCCATTCGGTCCCTAGTCTGTAGCAGTGCATGGGATTCTTCCGTCCTAAGTGCAGGACTCTGCACTTGTCCTTGTTGAACCTCATCAGGTTTTTTTTGGCCCAATCCTCTAATTTGTCTAGGTCCCTCTGTATCCGATCCCTACCCTCTAGTGTATCTACCACGCCTCCCAGTTTAGTGTCATCTGCAAACTTGCTGAGAGTGCAGTCCACACCATCCTCCAGATCATTAATAAAGATATTAAACAAAACCAGCCCCAGGACCGACCCTTGGGGCACTCCGCTTGAAACCGGCTGCCAACTAGCCATGGAGCCATTGGCACTACCCGTTGAGCCCGACGACCTGCTCCATGATTTTTCCAGGGACTGAGGTGAGGCTGACTGGCCTGTAGTTCCCCGGATCCTCCTCCTTCCCTTTTTTAAAGATGGGCACTACATTAGCCTTTTTCCAGTCATGCGGGACTTCCCCCGATCGCCAGGAGTTTTCAAAGATAATGGCCAATGGCTCTGCAATCTGATCCGCCAACTCCTTTAGCACCCTCGGATGCAGCGCATCCGGCCCCATGGACTTGTGCACGTCCAGTTTTTCTAAATAGTCCCGAACCACTTCTTTCTCCACATAGGGCTGGTCACCTTCTCCCCATACTGTGCTGCTCCGTGCAGTAGTCTGGGAGCTGACCTTGTTCGTGAAATCTCCCAGCTGATTTTTGGGGGGGAGGGGGGACCCTTCCCCACCCCAAATCTGGTAATCCTGAGCATGAGAACCAGACCCACCAGCCTGCCAGTGGAGAAGAGACGTCTCTGGGACAGCCCGTGTCCCACTCTCTGGTGTACTATCTGTATTATATAGAGGGGGAAACTGAGGCACAGCAGCTAACACCCCCTTGGTTGAGCTGTGGGGGAATCTGGCATTTCCAGAGCAGCTCCTGTCTCAGCCGCCCCGTGTTTCAAACCCCGTCGAATGGGACTCGGAGCTGAGGGTTTGGGGCTCGGCACACGGGCCAGGAGCAGGTGAAGGCTCCCGCCAGCCCAGAGCTAAGCTCTCCGCGGAGGAATTTGCGCATGGCCGGGCAGCGGTTCTAGGCCTAGACGCAGGAAGGCCCGGCCGGCTTGGGCCAACAAGCTAAATTATGACTTTAGAAGCACTTTGTTCTGAGGTGGGCGGGAGACCAGCTGAAAATCCGTCCACCAGCCCCCGGCCCTACTCAACGCCATTACAGTCCCCCCTGCCAGAGCTGGGGAAAGAACCCAGGAGTCCCGGCTCCCCCCCCCCCCCCAGGAGTCCTGGGCCCCCCCCCCCCCCCCCCCCCCCGCCCCCCCCCCCCCCGACTCTAACCACCAGAGCTGGGGAGAGAACCCAGGAGTCCTGGCTCTGTGCAGTATTATTTGAGGGGGGAGAGACTGGTTCCAGGGGGGCAGAGGAGTGGCTGGCACAGAGGGGCTATCACACGTAGGGGGGTGGCTGGCTTGGGGCACTTCCCCCCCAAACAAACAAGCCCAAATTTTACAAAACAACCAAAAAAAGCCCCAATTTTATTGAGTGGCTCCCACACGGCTGGTTTGTTTCAAAAGCAAACCCCTTGGCTAGGAAAATGCAGCGACCCCCACCCCCCCCCGCCCCACCAGCACCTGCTCAAGCAGATTACAAAAGCAAAAGCTAACCAGCACCACTTGGTCTCGAAGGGGCAAATAGTCACCGATTCCCCTGGGGAGGCAACAGCCCCCCCCGACACTTGGGGGGAGGGGAAGCAGACTAGTTTCCCCGCCCCCCAGAAAAGGAGTGGAACGACTCCAGGGTGGGTCGGGGGAGGGGGAGAAGAGCTCCGGGGGGGGGTGTGGAGAGGGGCATGGGGGGGGCAGAGATGATCCTGGATTAGGCAGGAGCTGCAGTGTGTGTTGGGACCCCCCCCCCCAGTCATGGCCTCTCCCCCACCATAGTGTTAACCCCCGGGGGAATGGGGTAGCACTATCCCCCTTAGGCTAGGCACAGGGCAGGGCGGAGCCGGGAGGCACTTAGCGTAGGCCCTACGTAAACACGCCAGGCGCCAGCAGGGACCCTGGCCTGCTGGAGGTGGGGGTAGCTGTGGAGCCCCTCCCCAATAACCATCCCTGAGCAGGGACGGGGGGAGGGAGCTGGCAGAATTGGGGGCAGGGCCATGATGGGGGGGGAGGTTTTTGAAGATGATGGGGGGGCATGGATGCCAGGGGGAGACAGGGGTCCCTGGGGGGGGAAGGGGAAGGAGGGATTGGCCGGGGGGCTGAGAGATGAGACGTGGCGTTGGGGGGCAGGGAGACAGGACATGGGCCCCTGGGGGCGTCGGGGGGCAGGGAGACGGGATGTGGGCCCCTGGGGGTGCCTGGGGAGGAGGGGGACAGGACAGGGGGGCTGAGAGATGGGACGTGGGCCCCTGGGGGCATCAGGGGGCAGGGAGACGGGACGTGGGCCCCTGGGATGCCCGGGGAGGAGGGGGACAGGACAGGGGGGCTGAGAGACGGGACGTGGGCCCCTGGGGGCGTCGGGGGGCAGGGAGACAGGACGTGGGCCCCTGGGGGAGGGGACAGGCCGGGCGCCCCCTCACTCCTCGTGGTGCCGCACGAACGGGTTGTCGTCGGCGCCGCCCTGCAGGGCGCAGTACACGTAGAGCAGGAAGGCCGCGAGCACCCCGAAGAGCAGCAGCTGAAGCCAGAGAGGCAGGAAGCGCCGGGAGCCTCCCCCTGCGGCCCCGCCCGGCCCCCCGCGGGGCAGGGGGTGGATGGCGCGGCGCGGCTCCACCCGCATGGGGGGCGGGGCCGGGCGAGCCTGGCAGACCCGCGGGTAGGGGGTGGCGTCCCCGGGGGGGGGGGGGGAAAGAGGGGGGGGGGGCAGCGGTTAGTGTTCACAGACCCACAGCTCCCCCCATCCTGGTATCGCCCCCACGGCTAGCAGCACCCCCCACAAACCACACCGTCCACACATACACCCCCCCCCTTGCCCCAGCTCAATGCCAGGTAGCACCCAAGAAGGGGGACCCCCGGGGGACCCCCCGCAAGGGGGACCCAACCACACCACGACACCCCCCCCCCCCCCTGCCCGCGACCCCCTCTCCCCTCCCGGTCTCCCCCGACCTGCTCGGGGTATAGGACGCGGCCTCTCCGATCTGCAAGGAAACGCACCGTCAGCAAGGGGGGGCAGAACCCCCTCTACAGGGGCAGCCCGGTAATGCAGGCCACGCCCTCCCTCGTTTGCATACTCCGGCTCTGCCTAGGGGGTAATTTGCATATCCCCTCTACAGGGACGGTGCGGCAATACAAGCCTTAAACTGGGGTTTCCCCCCCACATCCTGCACACCCAAACTGCCGCCTATTGTTGTGGGGACAGCAGATACTTGGAGAAGACATGAGATACTAAAGGCAAGCGGTCTGGGGGGTACAAATGGGGGCAGGGGGCAGCTCACCCTAACTTAAACAGCAGTGTGGCCAGGATTCCTAGGTACATAGGTGCCTTATGGACCCTCCCTGCAGCTGCACTTTGATACTAGAGTAGAGAGACTTGATGCTAAATTAAGGCCACTTCATTTAACTCCCTTCGAAAGGGGAGTAAAAAGGTGTTTTCCCGTCCCTCTACTGCAGCCGCCTCTCCAAGAGATGGCGGCGGCGAAGAATTCTCCTGGAGACTGAGCGGCGTCGGCACCGGAAGTGGGGTCAACCTCACTGCGGGTGTAACATTTCGCACAGCCCCCCGCGACGTAACGAGAGCGTTGACGGGCCTGGACCTCACGTTTGAGACCTTGCTCAGAAATAAAAAGGGAGGAACTAGAACGGTGGGATTCAATTTTCATTTGCCACCGAGTCGACGGCAAATCCAACGGGAAGGAGTCGATTTTTAGCGGTCGATCCCGGTAAGCCTCAATTTCCCCAGCCACACAGAACCAAGAAGAAAATGGGATAATGGTAGAAATGGACAGCTGGGAGCGCTCGTTAGAGTGTATTTACGGGGACTTGCTTTCCAGACTTGGATACGGGATGTTGCTGTTTTAACGGGTATGAAGTTTACATTTTTCAATCTCGCTGTCTAGGGTCATCAAATAGATGATGGTGGGGCTGGGGTCGTCTCCCCTCCCCCGATCCCTGCCCTTTCCCCCCGTAACTGCCCGCAACTGTGCAAATTTAAATTGACTAAAATAAAAATGCGTAAAGCCCCCAATTTAGCCGAGCTGTGACAACGTAGCAGGCGAGTATCTCTAGGGGTGGGGTTGATCCTAGAGTATCCAGCAGAGAGAATTCAGGCTAAATCTCAGGGGCCACAGTCGTAACACTGGGAAAATGTAAAAAGATTTAAAAAAAAAAAAAAAAAAATGCTTCAAACCCAGAATTTTGCTCACCTGAGAACATTTCAACCCATAAAATAAAAAATTGGAAAAAAAGGGGCTCAAAACCAACCGTTATCTGACGCAATGATTAAAATCAATGAAAGCTGATTTGTCCCCGCCTACCTATGGGGGCTGAATTTGGCGGCTAACCTGAGCGGCCGCGGCGAGTGAAAAGGGAACCTCCCGCGTATTGCCGCTTGCGGAGATTTAACTTACGACTTTGCGGGGGGGAGGGGGATACATTAGCGGTGCCCACACGCCCCTGGGGTAGCGAACGGCGAAACACTGGCTGTGGCTTCACAAGCCCAGCCAGCCCCCCCAGTCCGAGCGACTCTCAAAACTATCGCTGCCCTGGGCTCGGTGTCAGGTTCGGGCCCCTCGACGGTCCACACGCACATGGAGAGGGTTAGAAAACCCTCAGCCCCGGCTACGCAGCCCAGCCTCAGTCGGGAGCCCCAGGGCTGGCAATTGTAAACCCAGGTTCCCAATGCAGCGTGATCGCCCGCCCGGGCTTTGCAATGGGGACGCCCAACCGGGCCGACCGCGTCTCCGGGGGAGAGCCCCAGGACTGGTCCCACCGCAGAATCTCTCCGCCGCACGCTGCCACGGGCTGAAAAACGTCACCCAGCTCGACAGTCAATCGCTTCCGAACCCCGTCCGCAAACAACGGGCGCCGGGCAAGAAATCGACTGTAAGTTACCCAGAAAATGGACGGGCTCCAAACAATTATTTTTTTGGTTAGAAAAGAGCCTTTTGGGGGGGAATCTCGACTTGTTTAGATGACGCCATTATCTCACGAGGCGGAACGGCGGGTCATTTCTGTCTCGATCTCACACAGCCTGTTCAAATAACGTAACCACCGTGAGAGAACAGAAAACGAACCCAAACTGGCAGGGGAACCAAATTCCCAAGCCAAATTTTAGCCCCGAAATAATGAAATTCAATTTCAAAACAAAGTTTTCTGAAACTCACTTTTGTGGGGTTATATTTCTCTCTCACACACCCACACCCCATCCTCAATACGTCTTATCACATCACGTACACTAAGAAAGTTCACGCTATCACCAGAACAGTATCTCGGAGATACGTTTCTAGCCGGTCCCTGCCCTGAACCGGCCTCCGGCTCCCGATCACCCTGTTCAAATACGCGCCGCCTCCTTTTGCGAAGCTGAAGTGGGTTTTGCTCTTAGAACAGGAGAACTTTGTCCCGAGTAGAAATGTTCTGCCCAGGACACGCTCGGGGGTACGTGGGAGGCCAGGGGACAGAACAAGCCAAAGAACCAGACTGCGCTTTAGGGCCGGGGAGAGGCTGGTAAATTGTCAAATCATCCATTACGAGGGTCGTTTTGGGAGCTGACCGCGTTGGGGGACGTAACGCCGCGGCACAAGACGGTGTCCCAGAGACGGGCAGTGTTTCTGTCTGTATTAAACTCTCCGGGGCTGGTTCTTTATCTTTCCTACAGGGGCAAACTACCGACGAGAGAATTTATCGACCCAGCCGAAAATCAGCTCCCGGGAAGTTGCATCGGTTTTTAGACAATTTCACCAAAATTCAGTTCCGGCTCCGCTGGGCCCAACATCGCCCGGCAGCAAACGGTTTAAGGTTTGAGTTTTTCAGGCCGGGCCAGCGGCCGAATCCAGGATTGCCCCCCACGGTGCTGGGACGGGGGCAGAGTTGGGGGTTGGAGGTGGTAGGACCAAGCAGGGGGGAGTGAGGGGACTGGAAAGTTGGTAGCGCCAAAGGGGCGGGGGGAGAGAGAGACACCCGTGCCTTCTGTCTTTCCCAGGCCAGGCTGCCCGCACCCCTGAGACGTTATTTGGGGAGGTTACGTCCCACCCACACACACACACACCCAGGGGTTGACTTACCGGCTGGCGGGCGGTGGCTTCCCCCAGGGGACCTGGGGCTGCCCCATAGAGCCAGGAGGAGGAGGAGGAGGAAGATTCTTCGTAGGACTCGGTGTCCATGTCTGGGGGCAGAGAGGAGTGGGGTGAGATGGGGGGCTGGGCACGGCTCTCCCCTTCCCCACTGGAGCTCCACCCCTGGAACTCCCTGCTGCAGGAATGTGAACATGGCGCGGGGGATGGGGTGTCAAGCCCAGGCCAAGGGAATCGTACCAGACTCCCCTTCCCGCCTTCGTATTCCCCCCACATCCTCGCTGCTCTGTATCACCCCCTTGCCACCCCCACCAGAGAAAATGCTGCCCCCCCTACCCACCCCCCACTCACCATCGCCCAGGTAGCCGGTGCGACCCTCACGACGAGGGAAATCATACAGCTCCCGCGTGTACGTCGTGGTGGGGCTGGAGTCTGGGGGGCAGAGAGAG